TGTGGATATCCACCTGGATCTATGTTTTCATATTCGCAGTAAATCTTTAAAATTTATGGTCTGCTCAGTTTGATGCTTTTTACGTGTTGCAGTGGAACAAGTGAATATTTAGTTCAGATTTATTATTGGTGCTAACATTATACAATATTAGCCACTGCATAAAATCTTTTCAATACAATCAAACCCAAATCAACAAACTGAACCAAACTAAAAAAAAAATAAAATAAAAATATGATTTTATTGATATTCAGCTTTTTTTCTATTTACTGTTTTCAAAACTTCACTCACTTAAAAAATTCTGTTTTTTTCCTGTTTTTATAACACGTCCCATTCTAACAGCATTCATGTCTATACTCTGTGAAAAACCTTTATTTTTAGTGTCATATGATTTTCCAAGCAGCTCATATGTGAAAATCCCCAAAATAGTAAAACCTTGAGTAAAATGACAAAATTGCTCATCAATTAGTGCTGCTACTGTACTGCTGATCCTTGTTAAAATGTTACATTTCTTTAATTAGGAATCTGTTGCTAAAGAGTTTTACCTCATTTTGTGATCCTATATAAAGTATATGTTATGTTTCAGCAGACTGTTTCTTGTGCTGAAACTTTATGCATTATCAATTTTGTAGTTTCTTTTCTCTCTGCTGAATTGAGAATTCATTGAGTTTTGCTGTACGAAGCCTTGAAGATGGAGAAACCTTATGATTAAAAAATACATGAGAAGATAAATATTCTTCTCTTCATCTCTGAAGAGCACACTTTTTGCACACGAGTACACAGTTAAATTTTACAACCACCTGCATGTTCATGATGCACTCTCTGTAAGCATGACCTCTTCACTGGGATCATAACATTTACATCCAATCGAATCGAAATAAATTGACAGAGTGTATCCAGGTGAAAGATACAATTCTCTATTGATTTTTCTTTATTACCTTTAAACTCATGTCTGCCGCACCTCATAATGTGAAATGTGTGGTGGTTCTAACTCTTTATATTGTTCAATTATGCAAATATAAAATTTAGTTGCTACATAAATCCAAACAAGGTCAACGAGATTTCCCTGGATACAAAACATTTCACACAACATGACGACACAGCCTTCAATGTGATTCCATATATCACCTGGAAAATGTTCACTTCACTCGCCATCTTTCTACCTTCACTGTCTACCGGTCATCTTGGCTCCTGTGAAATCCAGGATCCTTTTCTAGCTTTTCAGTCAGTTTTTTAATGTATCGTGTCACTGTGCTTGTAAAATGTTCGCCCAGACTAGAAGGAAAGCCCAAGTGAGCGGTTCACTTGTCACCACTTCCAGCGGCAGAGTTCATACTGAAACAGATGCTGCATCCCAAGAACGAGGCTACATATGTTATAAGATGTACACGGGCTGGCTATTCTGACTGTCTAAATCCTATTAATCCATCCTCCGATATAAAGATTACAATGTAGAACGAATGTTTATAATTTCATTTTAGCTAGTTACCACACATATTGCACTACAGTTACAACAGAGTCGAGAAGACAAGCGCATTAAGTCCCCAAACCTTGTAGGTTAACATGCACTTCTTGCACTTTACTCATATACACATGGCACACTCATTGTCATACATACATACTCTTGTACATACTGTATAAGTTTTGTATAAATGGATTTTTATCATTAAATATTGAAAACAGCTCCATACTAAATGAAGCCCGTCTTCCTTGATATCTAGTGTGAGGTTTCTACCTGGATGGAGTGAGCAA